AAATGACTAATGAGAGTTAATGTACTAATAACTGACTGCAGATAAAAAAAAATATACAATTAACTGTGCACGTTTAAAAACTATTACCCAGGGGGGGGGGGGGGGGGGGGTGAGGGGAGATGACACAAACGGCTAAATGAACAGATGAATACATGCTTGTTGAATTTTTGGATAACAGATTTGCTAAGCGACGACCGGAGAGAGGCTGATACCAAAATCTAATAATTTACGATGAAAACGATGCTTTTTTTCACATGAATTAATAGGTGGATTATGTGCGAAATTTGACGACATTGGGGAAAATGGGAAGTCACCAAATGTAGCTATATATATATAAATATATATATATATATATATATATATATATATATATATATATATATATATATGTATATTTCTCTCTATGTATATATATATAATGAAGTTCTGCTTGTTTGTTTGTGGGTTTGTTTATGTCCTCTGTGCAGCACTACGCTTTTCATCCTATGGCCATGCAACTTAAGTTAAGAATACCACTGGATATATTTCACAAGCACGGTGCCCCAGCAGGGCGCGAATCGATTCTTCTCTATATAGGGTATATATACGAAAAAGTAGATTGCGGTTTAATCCCGTTCATCCGCTCGCCATAAAACTTCAGGGGAGGTTACAGTAAGAAATTCTTTTATTTTTTATTTTACAGGGCGGCGCTCCTGGAGGGTGCAATTTTTCTCTACACAGTTTGTAAAAAAACAAAACGGATGCTGTTTGACATCGTTCATCTGAGTGCCGTTAAACTTTCGAGAGTTAATGAAAACACTCACGAGAAGGTTTCTGCGAAAACAAAAATTAAAATGTATTATGGGCGTTTCCCTGGAGGGTGCGATTTTTGTTAATAAACGGCTTGGCGCCCGAAAATCCAGGGCGGCGATATTAAAACTTGAGCCTTCTGCATAAGGGCTAAGGTAAAAAAGCAACAAAAGGCGCAGCCGCCGGCGCCCCGGATATTACGTAACCCGAAGCGCCCCGTGCTACCATGTGAACACTATGACGCCTACGTTCGTTTTTTTTTAATTTATACACTAAAGACACGATGGGCAACAATAATTGTTGACTATATGGAATCAGGCGCGTCTGCCGGCGCCCCGACAGGATGCGATTTGGCGCCCTGGGATATCCTAAGGTTGTGTTAAAGAGCACTCTACAATATTGACTCTGTGGCACACGACATTCGATAACAATTTGTTTGACCCGGTGCACCCCTGGCTTCGGGAGGAACACTATGAGTTTTAAAAGAGCGCCCTACAGTAGGGAAACTTTTGTCTACTGCACCACTGTCGTGTGGTCTAGCACCTCGAATTTGCGCCTCAACAGCTATGATGAAAGCAATATAACACCGGCTTTGATTACATTTAAATTGTTTAGATTTAGAAATAAATGTCAAGCGTAAAAAAATACGTGATAGCTAATGTAATTATGGAATCCTCTTAAAATATTGCGTCAGTCTGTCTTCTGAGACCGCAGCAACGCGCGGAACGGGTACGCTGGTTTAATATATATTTCTTCTATATAAATAATTCTCTTCATGGATACCATAGAAAACACCAAGCGGTAAGCTCCCCTAGCAGCCCCCTCTCTTTCTCTCTATCCCTACCACCCCCATCCCTACATGGTCTGGTGAGCTGTGGTTCAAGCTAAATGTTTACAATCGTAGAGCCGTGTTTAGTGACAGCTATTAGGGGCAGATAATTTAGTTTGAAACGATTTTAAACTTAGTGGAGGTAACTAAGAGGGGGCTGCTTTCACTGGGAGGGGGGTGGGTAGGGTTTGTGTGAAAGGAGGGTGGGGAGGGGGAGGTTATCGTCCTTAACGAGCTACTGATAGTGTTTTAAAGCAAATATTTTCAGTGGCAGCATTGTTACTGTCGAATTCACAAATTATGAATTACTGAAAAGTAGAAAATGAAACAACTAAATAGCAGCGTGTGATAGCGGCTCGTAAAATATAAAACACAATGTAAATACCTTTGTTATACCTAAGGAAAATAATAATATGTAACATGGATTCCTGAAATTTTGCCCTGTTTTAATTTTTAACGTTGGGATCCTCCATCAACATCCATACTCTCCTTTAGTATGTTCAGGCATTTTTTTTCATTTATGGGAAGGGGTGATCGGAAAGTGTGACAACACATTTTTGCTTTCATCCGTTATTTCGGGCTTTAAAAGGTTGCTTTTGGTATTAATTCATTTATTAACTCAATGCTTATCGAGGTCAGTACATATTATAATAAACCGGGAGTGATCTCCCCTAAACTTTCTCGAATATTCTAATATAACACTACGGGGAATGGCAACTCGGGAAATAGACATGATTTTTAATCCACTTTAAATACTTAATCTTTTTAAAATAGAATAAAACCTCGTAGAAAAAAGAATTGCACACCAAGTGAACGCCAAATAAAGATGTGCATAATAGTGCGCAACATTATTAGTACTTTATAAATTTACGTGCGTTTTTTGAGAAATCGGAAATATCGTAAATTAGTACTTCCTGTCAACGGAAATTACTCAAAATTTGACAGAAGGCAGAGAATTAGATCTTTTACTTACATGTGAAATTTCATTTATCTATCTGAAATAGTACTCAAGTTATAGGCTTTTGAAAAATTCAAAGTAGAAAAAGTACAACTTTCGGTTATCGGAAATCGCTCAAAAGTTTATACGGATCTACGATTTTGATAAAATACTTATATATGAAATTTCATCAACCTAGCTGTAACGGTACTCAAGTAATCGTGTTTACACACAGACACACACAGACACACAGACATACGGACAAGATTGCAAAATTATGTTTTTCCGTATCAGTGAGGTGTAAAACGTCGAGATTTGTAAAAAATCTCGATTTTTTTTTGCACGATTAAAAGACTTTCTCTATACTTCGTATATACGAGAAAGTAAAAATGCAGTTTCAGGGGAACGGCGGAGGGGGTTATGTGTTGAGGTGTGGTGTTTTTAAAGAGAGTGGTGGGGGGGGGGGGCTTTTTGTGAAAATGTGTTACAATTAGAGAAGGGGGGTTGGGTGCAAAATCGTCTGAAGAGTGAGTCGTCGTTAATGGGTGACCACTTTATGATTGTATATTGACGTCACCATCATTTTGGGCGGTAGCTTTATGTGACGATATGTAACGAGAAAAAAGAGGGTTGAGTTAATGGCGTAGCATTTATTTTGCATTTTTTAAGGATACATATAATAAAAACACTGCTTATTTTGTTTTACATGTGTGACGACATTGTGTTAACCAAATGTATTGAATAGTAGGACTTACAGATTATTAGTTCTCCCTCCCCCTGAAGCAATTATCCCCTGTAATTTACCCCCCGCCAAGGAGGACATCCCCCCCCCCACGGACACACCTCTTAAGGTACAGCTGGGGTTAGGGTTATAGTTAGGGTTACGGCTAGGGTTAGGGTTAGCGTTAGGGCTAGGGTTAGAGTTAGGGTTAGCGTTCTGGCCAAGGTTAGGATTATGGTTAGGGTTACGGCTAGGGTTAGGGTTAGGGCTTGGGTTAGAGTTAGGGCTAGAGTTAGAGTTAGAGTTTGGGCTAGGGCTAGCGTTCGTGCTAAGGTTAGGGTTATGGTTAGGGTTAGCGTTAGGGCTAGGGTTAGAGTTAGGGCTAGAGTTAGGGTTAGCGTTCGGGCTAAGGTTAGGGTTAGCGTTCGGGCTAAGGTTAGGGTTAGGTTCAGAATTAGAGTTAGTGTTATGGTCAGGGTTAGGATTAAGGCTAGGATTAGGGTTAGTGTTATGGTCAAGGTTAGGCTGAAACCTAAGTCTAGAGTTGGTTTTGGTTATGTGTTAAGTTTTAGGCTAAGGTGAATGCTTAGGGTTTGGTCATTTTTTTATCGATTAGGACTAAGTAAATACATAGGTATAGAGTTTGAGTTAGGATCATAACTTGAGGCCGGGGGGGGGGGATTCTCCAGGGCGGTTATTGACAAGAAGTAATTGCCCCGGGGGGTAAATACGGGAGGGGGGGTCACCTCCGGGAGGGGTAATTGACGGGGTGGGGGTAATGTCATGTAGCCAGGTCCACTATTAGAAAGCCAAGATTCCAAACTTTGTAGCCTTATGTAGGTAATCTAATCTCATACAAGTTCTTGAAAGCAACATCAAAGACGAGAAATAAGAAGAGCCATCGTTGTCGGCTTATTTAACAGGGAAGTCTTAGTCTAAATCAATCCACGACAATGTCTTTAAGACAATAAACCTTAACTTTGCTTGAAAAAACAATATCGTTCTTCATTCAGTCAAACTCAACATTATGGCTTCACTGAACTTTGTCATTGAAATGCATGTGTAGTTTGAAATGTGTGTCTGTTAAAATTGTACAGTTGATTCCGAATATATCCAGCCTTTTTCTTCTTCGTTCAGCTGATTTTCTGTCTGGATTTCTTTTCTTATCTTTTGTCAATCCAAGAAAAAGTGTTGTATCCCCAATATAGGTTGCTATCCCCAACTATAGAGCCTCATCTACACGGGAGATTGAACTCAGGACTTCTCGGTTTAGCAACCACGAACTTTACAAGTTCTTGATTTTGGTATTGGCGTGTCAGTTTTCTTCTTTATATAGTCGACATCTAAAGTTAAACAAAAAGAGTTGCCTACCTCAGCAAAAGTCAATGTAGGCCAATTATGGCCAGTGTAGCAATTAGCAACATCAAAGTTGATTTGGATTCCATGCAACACTCATTCCATACTTGCCTGGAGTACAAACTGGGTCACAGTATTCTCTGGTAAACAATTAAGTTATTTTCCAAATATGTGCTCAGCTAATAGAAACAACATTCCTAGATTGTTTTATTTTTAGTTTTTTTGTTTTTTTTAAAGGGCTTCAACTGTTTTAATGTCAAATTGTGCTGGGAATACTATAACTACATACTACACTTTTCAGCTTTCAATCACTCGCATCTTATGTACACAGTAAGAAAACCAAATACATCAAATTTTGCGAAATAATTTATTTATCAAACCTGACAATTGCATAAAAAGCCAAAATGAATATATCAGGATTATTGCAATTATCGCCATTTGCAGATTCTTGTTTAACTATGGTAGATGGAAGTATTAGTTGCCTTTCACATCACTTTTCACTTCCTCAAACAAAACCAAATGATTTTCTTAAAAATCCATCTGAAATAATAACATTAGCACAAAAAAAATCTTTAGTTTAATACATCAAAACAAAACAAGAAAAAAGTGATTGAATGGGATGAATCATGGCATATATAAAGTTTTGCTTTAGTGATAAAGGGGGAGAAATTTAAGTTCTTTTAAGTAAAACATAAGCTAGAGAAATAAACTATTAGGCCTAATTTAAATAATTTAATTCCTTTCTCCCAAAACACTACATGTATCCCTAAAAAAAGGAAAACTTAAAATTTATCAATATTTACCTTGTGTATAAACTCTTCTGTACATCTACTGTATCAGCTTGACGCTCATTAGGTATGCCTAGTTCCTGTTGAGCAGTTAAGACAAATTAAGTAAATAATTCAAATTTGTAAGACAAACCACTAAATGATAATGTAAGATATATATATATATATATATATATATATATATATATATATATATATATATATATTTATATATATATATCCTGCCTGCAAATCGGCATATTTTGCAAAACAAATATTTAAAAAGATATAGAATTATTTATAAAAATACATATTGTATCAATCATCACAAATGACTTGGTCTTACTAGGTAAAATATTTTTTAAATACAATATTTATACAAATAAAAATCTATCTCAATCAACATGTTCAAAATAAACCAAAGTAAACTTGTGATAACTTACCTGATTCAAGTTTGAGAGGATTCACCCAGTTCTGGCCACTGAAGCAGATTAGATGCTTGTATTATAACACTTGTGATATACTGATTGCAAATTTTTTCAGTTTTAGTCCTGGAGATCCATGTTGTAGGCATAGACTGTTAAACCTGGATAGTAATATTATAGAAGTAAATTATATCTAGTATAAGTATAATATAAATATTTAAAAAATAAATGACACTAAATTATATTTATCATCATTGGAAATAAAAGTGGTACAATTAAGTTATAAAAAAACAAATTATAAAATTTAAAGCAGCTTATTAATAATTGTCACACCTTTTCCTGCTTTTATGTCAAATGTAAGAGGTAATAGAGAAAGAACATCTTGTGTCATTTAGTATGCTGTAGTCTTATTACTGGTAAAAATCAGATCTTCCCTTTTTTTGGGTGAACCTGTAAAAGAGAAATTACAACATGCATAAACACAATGAATTTCATATCTAATCCTCAACTAGTTATCACCCCAATCCTAACCTCATTTTTTAAAACCAATTTCTAAATATGTTTTCAGAACAAATTTATATTAAGTCTACCTATTTTAATGTTCAGAATACTAATAGTTATCAAAACTACTTCCAGTTGAAATTCAAGATACCTTTATAAAAAGTTATTAGGCTGCTACATCTGAAAACTAAGGTCAATGCAAAGACTTCCAAATTAACGATAAGTAGGCTTGTATAGATATTGTATATAATTACTAGCCCAATAGTATTACTCTACGACCAATGTATAGGACAATGTATCAGACCTAATTCCTATAATTAGGCCTACTAATTATTAAATAATTAATAGATCTAACAGTAGGATAATTACAATTATGAGCCTTAGCTGACATAGAGAGCTGAATACTGAACAAAACATTTTTAAAAATTATGGTAAGCTAAGTGAGTTGAATTATTTTATTTAGATATAATATACTCTATAGTGATAACCGCAGAGTAGCATATAATCATAATTTAAAATTAAATCTATACGCAACATTAAGCCTCTGCCTTGTTGCCTAATTAAAAACTAAAGCCTATTAAGCCTTTTCCTAATAAGCCTTTGGCCTAATTTAATAACTTTGCCTATATAATATATAAGTAAGCTAAACTACTTGTAAGACCTAATAGACTAATGACTAAGAGAGTGCAGGCCCCTATCCGATATTATATAATATATGCTCTCGATATCATAATATCTAACACTGATTACATTAATTTACATAAGAATTTTAGATCTCCAATACATAGGCCTAGGTCCTAAATAAATTATTTTTGTTTATTGAGCCCTTAATGTATAAGATATGATCTGTTTTTTTAATAAAAATAAGCCTATACTACCTATACAATACACACATGACATTTTTGTTCATTGCTCATGATTCTCAGTCTGAACTAGTGATTTATCTAATATCTAGATTCTAGTACTACTTTAGGCCTATTTAATTATTTATTAGTAGGCTGAATAAAATCTAAAGCTATCCTTTATTACTATATTGGCCTATATTATAGGCCTATTATTCTATAATTAATTTATGTTTTCTTTCAATACATAGTAGATTCTGTGGTACCTCAACATTCTAGTGCCTGGACATACGAGATTTTTTAAATACGCGCAGTTGAGTGAGTAATCGCTTTGAGTTACAAGCAAAATTTGAGATACCATATTCTGTGGCTTTCACAGTTCATGAAAAAGAAATACCCCAAAAAGATGCAAATGATTATTCATCGCAGCTACTTAATTTTAATAATATGCGTCTTACTCATATTTGCAGCATTATGAAAGGGAGAAAGAAATTAACTTCCTGAACAAGTTTTATTTTAAGCTACCAGCACATAAAAGTGACTTAAATAAAGCAGTGCAAAAAAAGAAGAAAAAGCTGTCACGAAAATTAGAGAATCTCGGTCTTACTTAAGCTAACGTAGACGTAATAATTTTATTTAGTATTAGTACTTAGGCCTTACGTTTAAGTCTTAAGCGCCAAGTGCAACAATGCTCAGTGAATTTTAGCCATGTTCCATTAAGTTTAAGAATAATGTGTAGGCCTAATGTGTAGCTTTAGTAATTTTTAGACCTAAGCCTAAGCTTGTACATACAGATCTAGATCTACAAACAATTTGATATAGATTGTAGAAGAGATTTAAAATTGAATAGATCCAAAAGGACAGCTATGCCACGGAAATAATTCTCTTTCTATTCTAGATCTAGAATCTATTAGATCTAGATCTCTAGTGCTACTGAAAAATTACTAGATCTAGATCTAGATTCTAGATCTAGATTCTAGATCTAGATTCTAGCTAGATCTCTGATCTAGATCTATCATTTACTTACGAGGCACTAGGCATACTTTTAACTTTTCTCTCTAGTCAATAATGTAGATTTCTATATTCTAGATCTAAATTTAAATCTAGATCTTGCAGATTTGCGTAGGTTATACATCTGTGTAAATCGTTGATCAAGTAGATCTAGATCTAGAGGATCTAGATTTGGACTAGCTCTCGTCAAAACAAAATGGCTGGAATCTTCAGTTACATTTCTCGTTTCGTTTCTTTTTTTTAACCATAAAATATAGAGTCTTCGGAGTTTTGAGTTTTTTATTAATTCTCTACGACAGTCTCGTTTGAGAACGATTGGAAGGGTCTTATTCTCATTGACACTATTGGAGAGAAACTCAACGTTTTTGTCGTTGAGACAATACGCATGGGGTGCATTTTCAACACAATTAAATATTGCAACAAAAGATTCCACCACCTCTGATAGGCACCTAACTCACGTTAGAGAAAGAAAATGCCCATGGGCGTTGTGCTAACCTCACTATCTCTTCATATGCCACAGGATAGGTGAACTCTACTTCACTCGCCACATGATCCGTCAGGTTCGAAAAGGGAACTTCGTTTTTTTTTTCTTGGTTAAAAATGATAACATTTGCATAACATTTAGTATACTATATTTTCATGATGCGCTATAAAATAGTTAATTATGTAAAAGAACTTGTCGTTATTTTTTACATTTTTTACTAGTTTTAATTTGCTTTTGAATGTGAAGGCGCAAAACTGTTTTAAAAAGGGTAAAGATTAACACAGTTATATCAAATCTAATAGAGCTGGATTCAGTATACTTTACACCTTTGCAATAACACACATATGCAATGATTATTGTATCTTCTGCACGTGTTTACTAAACAAATCACGGAATTTGGAGATGTATTTGAGGTAAATTAAAACATTCCCACAACAAAATAACACTGGCACATGTGTACTAGTACATCGAGAGCCTCGTATAATCGTCCATACTTTCCGAATAGCGATAACTCTGGGAATAGTAGCAGCGGTGGATGGAGACACACCCTTGGCGTGTTGCAAACGATGTACGCTAGACAGAGAACAAAAAGCTGCTGGGTAATTCTGATCTCTTTGCTGCTTAATTTAAATTTTCTCGGTTGTTGAGATGGACTATTTTGTTTGTTTCTACGGTTTGTGTTTTTAACTGAAGACGCTAAACCTTCCCTGGTGTGTTGTCGAAATTTGAGGGCTTTTGTTAGAACAATTTTCATAGAAATGGCGGAGATGAGCAAAACTATTAGGACAAAGTTTGTTAAAAGAAGCCCTGTCATCGTTCAAATGACATCAGTCACCAAATGCCATGTAGGTGATGTCCAAAATAAAGCTCTGGCTGTGTTAGTTTTTATATCAGGTTGAGGAATTATACCCATGAAGGCGAAAATAGGAACTTCAACGAAGAAGATGAATGTTGCCGATCGTTATCATCGCGCAGTGGTAGAATTCGCTGCCCGCAAGCTCCAAGTAAAAATCTACACTATACGGGTCCACGGGAAAGTAGGTTTTATAACCGCTCGTCAATTCAACACAGGCAAAAGTGCAGGAGATCGACCCTGCTGATTCACATACAAGAAATAATAAATCACAGACAGATAGAAAGAAGAACGATAAGGTGATTCCGTCTTTGAGACCCATAGCGACAAATGTCCTTATCGTCATAGCGTTGCCTATGATTCCTACAAGGGCGATAATTCCACGACAAAGGCAGATAACTAAGCTGACTAAAGTTACGTTATCCTGCTTTGAAATCGCTGGAGCGAGTAACGAGTCGATTATTCCAGACATGATTGTCTCTCTACAGCGTCTGAACGTTTATGTGAACCTGATGTTATAATTTTAGGTAATGTCTTTGTTGCAGAACAAATTCCCCAACAATTATATGTTTTTCTGTGAAAAAAAAGTACACTCAGTTTAAAACTGTTACTGCAGTATAACTACGACATGCCAACTACGACTGATCAACTGTTAAAACACAACAAAATACCTTGTCGTTGTTTAAATAGTTTACAATTGTCTACTAAAAAAAAAAGTTGCATGATTTTTCTAGTTTAGGCATGCCTAATTTGTGCGAGCGAAAATTCACAAATTGATTGTCTTGTTAAGTACCAATATCGTAAGATGCATCTTCGAGGAATTTTTATTTTTGATCGATTTTACCGGCTCGTTCTGCTATTTGAACATAATTTTCTTTAGGTGTTTACAGATTTTTAGTTATACCTACAGGATTTAATTCAATTTATACCACTACTAATCTAAACTTAAATTTATATTAACCCTTTATTTACGGAATTATGTTCTGAATAAGATTTTTACTAAAGCAATGTGTTACTATATTGCTTTTGGCACATTCAAAGCATATGTCGAAGGAAATTTCGTTTCATAAATTTTTAATGGCCCAAACAGATATTGGTACTTATAAGTACCGTCAGTAATCTAGGACATTTTTTTTCAAAAAGAAATTTTTTTACAAAACAGGAACAAACGATACAATTTATTAACTAATAACATGGCAATCATCATAACAATCACATTTTGTAATTTTTACACATAAATACAGCACAAAAGTATATTTTGAGTACGATTTTTACTGGATTTTCTATTGGAACACATCTTAGACCTCATACACAGCAAAAGTAGTCGACATGTCATGCTCCCTCAATCTTGTCTGTGGTCTTTCTGGTGTAGCAACGGTTGCCAGAATGAAATGCTTTTGCTGGAAGCTTCCATTAACTAGTACCATGAGCCGCATAAACAAACATAAGCCTAGTCATTCAGACTAGTATAATTGTAGCCTACTAGAATGTTATGACAAGTCTACACTACAGTGCAAAGTTCATAAATAAAAGTGAGCTCAATGTGTTTAGGATAGCCGTAGTGGATTACTCTTTTCTGTTTACTGATTAAAATTTACCTTATAGATCTATACTATATGCAGAAGTATGGACTATTACCAGTCTACAGGTATACATTACGTAAATGCTAGTTATTGTTGGCAAGACAGTTTATTGCAGTAAATATAACTAACAAATTAAATCTAACTACTAGAACTAGGCTTTGGTATACAAATGCAGTAAACTAAACCTTGTAAACGAGCCTGCAACTGATCCCTTTATTCTTGTTATTTTTTACTAATAGAAATTAACATGTAATTACAATATTTCTTAGGTAATGCTTATGCAAACCTTCTTATAAATGTGTAAATATCATTTTTTGAGTACATTTCGATAATTTATTATCAAGACAATATTTATGTAACTCCACCTAACAAATTTGCCATTTTCTTAAAATCCTAAAAAAATGACCGTGTGCCCTGACGGTACTTATAAGTCCACTTGTAAACATCGATCTAATACAAAGACAATTTGATTAAAATTGTATAACTAGAAGTTAAACGCGTTTGCCTGACTATTGAAGGTGCCAATAAAAAATATTTGGGATTGAAAACTTGAAAAATAAGGTAAAACAAAGGGAATTCAGGAACGTGTGTGAGAACTGTACAGAACAATTGTGAACTACCGATATAGCAAGACATTGAAAATGGTGCCACACAATTAATTTAAAAAAAACATTGATACCTCCGACTACATGCGACTCAGGGGAGATAATACTATTAATTACCTCAATAATTTTTAAAATTCGTATTAAATTAAAAATAATACAGGCACTTAATTAAAGTGGTACTTATAAGTACCGTCAGTAGATAAAGGGTTAAATAAACCGGGAGTGATCTCCCCTAAACTTTCTCGAATATTCTTATCTTTATATATAATTCTCTTCTGGGAGCCGTTAGAAAACAAGCTGCGAGCGCCTCCTTGCAGTCCCCTCTCTTTCTCTCTATCACTATCACTACCACCTCCACCCCACCCCCACATTGTCTGGTGAGTTGTGGTCACGCTAAATGTTTACAAAGATAAATGTTTACAAATCGTAGAGCCTTAGAGCCGGATTTCTATTAGGGGCAGATAATTTAGTTCAATATTAAACTTACAGGAGGTAACTAAGAAATAACTAAGAGGAGGCTGCTTTCACGGGGGGGGAGGTGTAGGGTCGGGGTTTGGGGAAAGGGGGGGGAGGTTAGTGTTTTAAAGCAAATATTTTCAGTGGCAGCATTGGTACTGTCGAATTCACAAATTATGAATTACTGAAAAGTAGAAAATAAAACAACTAAATAGCGGCGTATGATACGCTGCGGTTCGGCTCGTATAAAATAACAGGGGATGGGAACTCGGGCTATAGACATGATTTTTAATCCATTTTAAATACTTAAAGTTTTAAAAATAGAATAAAATCTCGTAGACAAATTAATTGCACACCAAGTGAACGCCAAATAAAGAAGCGCATAATAGTGTGCAATATTATTAGTACTTTTAAAATTTACATTAGTTTTTTGAGAAACCGGAAGTAGCGTAAAGTACTACTTTCAATCAACGAAAATTACTCAAAATTTAACAGAAGGTAGAGAATTAGATCTTTTACTTACATGTGAAATTTCAATTATCTATCTGAAATAGTACTCAAGTTATAGGCTTTTGAAAAATTCAAAGTAGGAAAAGTACCACTTCCTGTTATCGGAAATCGTTTAAAAGTTGATACGGATCTACGATTTTGATAAAATACTTATATATGAAATTTCATCAACCTAGCTGTAACGTTACTCAAGTTATCGTGTTTACACACGGACAGACAGACAGACAGACAGACACACAGACATACGGACAAGATTGCAAAATTATGTTTTTCCGTA